AGTACAGGGTGTCCCAAAAAAAATCGACCCCCCTCTAGCGGACCGCAGAAAGCTCGGATCGGAAACGGTGAGAACCTTCAAACCTTCAAACCTTCAAACGGTGAGAAACAAGCGCCTTTGGTTTTCCAAAAATTTTAGCCTTCGCTCGATATTCAATGATTTCTGTAAAAAGCGTAAAACCAGCATCGTCCTGTTTGCTTTAGCAAGCAATTAACATGCCGATTTTGCATAAAATCTGCAGTTTTCATCGATTTTGGCCCTAAATTTAATGAATTAAAATTCCCATATTGAAAAACGAAAAGTGCTTGTTTTCTCGCCTTTTCGAGTGCTTTCGATAGATACCTAAATCGTCAAAATCGGACATGACTGCGGCCCGCTAGAGGGGGTCGATTTTTTTGGGACACCCTGTAGTGGGGTGACTTTCATAATAAGTCGCGAAAGGGGGGACATCGAATAGCTGAGGCGTTCCACCGGAGGACACACTCGAAATGGCGGGGGACATCAACCCTCGAGACAAATGAATCGCAAAAAAGGGTGGAGGGGGGGGTGGAGGATGAAATGTGAGAGCTAGCTCAATTTACCATTTGGTTGGTGATCAGCGCTTTGAGATGTTGCTGCGGATAGTTGTATTCTGTGGGCTTATTGTTGCCAAGCGGCCTCTATTAAATGTCAGCAGAAATTGACCGATGATAAAGAGGTATATTTTTAAAAGCAATCTACTGTTGCCAAAACCTTTCTATTGGCATTTTATTTGCAAGTTTGTTTAGGCCACCGAAGTCGACTGCGGTGATTGTGGCTTCTGTCGCACCATCTCGCTAAAGACGCCGTAAGCTACCTAGACACCGTAACCCCCTACACGCCGTACTTTTTAGCGAAGGTTCCGAGAACCCCAGCAATGTCAACGCCCAAGGATGTGGATGCGGAGAGAAGGCTCTCAGCAAGTTGGAGAAGGACGAACGCGTCAAGAAGATGCACGACTGCTTTGTAAGCTAACTTGTGCTTAATAATTTCGAAAACTTTTTAGGAAGCCTCAAACACGAATGCTGAGTTCTCCTCTGAAGGAAAGCCCAATGGTTTCCTAAAGGATATCTGTTGTGCGGAGGCGCAATGCGGAAAAGAGGGTGAGAAGAAGGATGAGAAGAAGCCGGCAGAGAAGAAGGAGGAAGAAAAGCCGAAAGCCGAGAAGAAGAAGCCGGAGGATAAGAAGGAGGACAAGCCAAAGGAGGACAAGCCAAAGGAGGACAAGCCAAAGGAGGACAAGCAAAAGGACGACAAAAAGCCCGAAGGTGTGAAGAAGGATGATAAGGATAAGAAAGGAAAAGATGACGACAATAAGAAGGATGACAAGCCTAAGGATGAGAAGAAATCCGAAGAGGATAAGAAGAAAGAGGAAGGAAAGGACGAGAAGAAACCGGCATTGAAGGGAGATGAGAAGCCGAAGGAGGAGAAGAAGGATGACAAGGCGAAGAAGCCTACTGATGAGAATAAGAAAGACGATAAGAAGCCGGCAGAGGACAAGAAGAAGGAGGAGAAGAAGCCTGATGAGGAGAAGAAGAAGCCAGAAGAGGAGAGGAAGGACGAGAAGAAGAAGCCAGAGGGAGGTGACAAGAGGAAAGACGATAAGCCGAAGGATGTCAAGAAGGATGATAATAAGAAGAAGCCAGAAGATGACAAGAAAAAGCCCGAGGAGAAGAAAGGGGATGATAAGCCAAAAGACGATGACTGATGGAAGAGGACGACAAGGAGAAAGATGGACAAGAAGCGGGAGAATGAAATCAAAAGAAGGGAAAGGAAGGGAGGAAAAGAAGGAGGTGGACTTCGCCGGATTCCAAGAAAAACTTGCATCGATCGACTCGGAGGATAAAAACACATGGAGGATTTGCTGAGATTGTTGCCGAGAAGGCGAAGGCTGAGAAGGAGGTATAAATCAGCCTGTGTCCTTTTGGAATTATTTAATTTTCAGCCTGCTGGTGAAGCCATGAAGTCGACCGCTACCTCACATAAAAAATTACTGCCAAGACTGTGTTTGATAAAGTTTAATAGTGTTTTAATTAACGAAAAGCGCGTGTTAACACAAATTAAAAAGACAATTATTAAAGGACACAAATGCATTTTTCACCATGCCAGGCACCGTTGACTTGTTACAAAGCCAAGATCTGCACCAAAGGCCAGGGTTGACTTTTTGCCAGAAGTCTAATTACATTTTCTAAAGGCGGTCGCGCTTATTCCTTGCCCATCTCTTCCTTTCCGAAAATCACCCAGGTCTCACTCTTGTTGTTTCGGGGCTCTTAGAGCATCAACACGGTGAGGAGAAGAGTCGAGCCTCAGCTGTTCCACCTGGTTAGCCACCGTTTTCGTAGCGAACGGTCCAAACGTGGGAGGGAGAGCGAGAGATAGAGAGCGAGAGAGATAGATAGGTGGAGAGATAGGACGGCGGAGAGGTGGCGGGGCTGATCGGGTTAGCGTCCATCAAAATGTTAGCTGCCCTGAAAATAGTAAACAAGGAAGGTGGGTAGGGGAAGGGTGAGTATGGAAAGGTGACGGTCAGTTCCACCTTTTGACCCGAGCTGGGCCCTGGCGCAACCTTATCCGCCGTATTTAGTCAAGTTTTTGGTGAGTTTGGAATCACCATAGCGCCTACTTTTCAGCAAATATCGTTCAATTCTATTAAATGGTTTTTACTCTACTAAATTCTTATAATATACGTTAGATTTAAGCTAAAAAAGGTTCAGTATACAAAATGAAGTGCATGATCCTGATCCTTGTCGCTGTGGTCTCTTCAATATTGTTTCTGGAAGAAAGCAGCTTCAACAAAGATGGAGAGAAGGTAAGCCTTGACTTGAATTTTGGCAAAACCATCCGTTTCAGGCGAAGGGAGGTTGATTATGGAGACAGCTGCGACTTCTGCCGCCTTGCTGTTCAGATCAAGTTTAATTCTACTGAAACCCCCGTAACAACTCAATTTAGGGACTATCTGAAAGACAAATCATTCAAAGCGCAGGGATGGGGCTGATAAGTCGTTGAAGGTCACGGCAGTGGATACCTTTCGGAATTAACTCGCTTGGAGATTGCGCGGTAAGTTTTAGATCCCATCCTATAAGCGAGAAAAAGTATGTTTACTTGGGGTAATGACGATTTCTCGGCCGTCAGGCCGAATATCGCGCTGATTTTTGGTACGGAGGCGGAGAAACACATTTGTCAGACACGCATTTTGGGTTTTTCGAAATTCCTCTTTACCACCTTTACGCTAAAATAGTAAAATCCTTAACAAAATGGGCCAATGGCCGTGGTGTCCGGGACATAACTCAGATTCGCATTTGGAATTTCGGGCTGAAATTTGGACCACCAATGTATCTGATAGTGGGGATCACGCGCATCTTATTATCTTCCTAAATTTTCTGCAGATTCAGACCTGAAAAGTTTAATTTTTGTAAAGTGACCAGAAGGCATTTCCCCGGGGCATTGGTCGGTCTTTCGGTGCCTCCCTGCCCGCAAGGCCGGAACAGAAGAGGCTTTCCCGCCGCCTGTTCCTATCTACCCCGTGGCGTAGTGGAATGGCGTCTGGCCTACCACCCGAATGATCGTGGGTTGGGATCCTGGGCAAATATAACCTTTGCTTTTGGTAGTTTAGCAACAAAACATATTTCTAGGCTCTCGGTGTGCGCGGTTTAGGCCTGGCTCTCGCTCTAGCGCCGCAGGCCCAAGAGAACGCCCTTGACCCAGGCTCTCGCGCCGCAGGCCAAATCCGCGAGGAAAACCGAGTAACTAGCGCCGCAGGCTCAAAAGTTCTAGCGGAACGCTGGCTCTAGCGCCGCAGGCCAAAGAATGGCGCCATTACTCAGGTTCTGCGCCGCAGGTTAAAATGACGAAGGTATTCAAATTCATGATTCCTGGATGGAGTCCAGTGGAAAATGGCCGCGAAGCGGTCTTTTTCCACTGGTAATTTAATATACATTGTTTCGAGC